TGTTCATCTTGTCTTGAGAGTCTACTGGATTTGAATTGACTATTGTCATATATCTAAAATCCATAGTTAATGCCACTGGTGAATGAATTGTGTTTGACTGCGATCGTCACTTGGGAAATATCCAAGAGAGATCTCAGAATCCTAAATGGCTTCCTTCATGTCCTAGTGGGGAGTAGCTGGTGAGAAATTCAGCCATTGATAGTTTTTCAATGCCACTGGCCCCCATTAAACATTTGGAGATGGGCTTAAAGGACATTTCTTTGAAAATTTTGAGAATTGATTTTACTGTGAAGAGTTACTTACTTCATTTCTCTCTAATATCACCTGAAAATTTTAATCATTCAGTTGTTTAGGTAATGGAATACCCTGAAAGTTTCCCTAAATTTACTAATGCATGTTAATTTGTATGAAAAAAATTTTATACTCAATTCTGAAACACCATTTTCCTTGTACTCAAATGATTAAGAAAAAGAAACAGAAAAAAAGAGGTCATAAAATTTTTGTGCAGTATATAATAAAAATATCTGCTTTATTCCAATTAGTTCATTCACCATAAACATTTGCCCATTAACACTTTCTCCATTAAATGGTAATTTGTTATATACTTTCTGAATAATATCTTTACAACGCTAAAGATTGAAGATGGATGTGAAGCCATCTGCAGAGTGTCTGACAATATCATGTTTGGTACTTTCTTACAATGCCTTGTGCTGATTTGAGAACTGGTGGGAGGGAGGGAGACAGATTTGTGGAACTATACTAACTAGATGTAGATCCATACATTGTAGATGTAGAGTAACTATACTAACTAGATGTAGATCCATACAGCTTTTCTGCTTTCTAGTGCTGTAACCATCAGCAAGCTACTTAACCCTTATCAATAGTCACATTTGTCAAATGAGGATATTAACAGAGTGGAGTCATATGTTACTTAGAGGCTAGGTTCTTAAGGGGAAAATTTATTTATAGTCAAAATCACCCTTAAATTCTTAGGTTATTATCAACTCATCAGGACACCAGCCATGAGTAGCTGTATAGTCAAGCACATCTTTTATTTCCTTGCACTTTGGTATGGCTTCCCTTTCTCTGAAAATAGGATATCAGTGTCTCATTAAGGGAATAGCCAGATGTCCAATTTGAGGGACTAAAGGATATATCTATGTGTCTGTCTTTCATTCCCTCTCCCTCTTTTCTTCTCCTCTCTCCTCTCCCTACTCTCAGACCGGCTATGGTTGAGTGGTAATGAGATAGATGAGTATATTATCTAACTCCTAATTCCTGCCGCATTGGGTTACTTTCTACCCATATAAATATTTATCCATAAAAAATACTTGATGGTATTACTTTATTTGTTGCTGCTAGCCCTGTGCATCTTTTTTATATTTGTTAGTATAAAAATGTATATCAGAGATTGCCAAAACGAAATGGTTATTAATTTTTATTTTTGAAAACTCATGAAATAACTTATATCCATAGTATTATAACTTGCTTTGATGCATGGTACTCTCTGTAATGTCCTATTTTTCCAATAAGAACATACTTTTTATTATCATTTGGTTCTAAGTATTTTTTTATTAAGGTATCATTTATTATTCATACTCATACTATTATGAAGGTTTCACAAGAAAAACAATGCAGTTATTACATTCACCCTTATTATTGAGTCCCCCCCATACCCCATTGCAGTCACTGTCCATCAGTGTAGTAAGATGCCACAGAGTCCCTATTTGTCTTCTCTGAGCTACACTGTCTTCCCCGTGACCCCAAACACACCATGTATACCAATCATGATACCCCACTATCCCCTTCTCCCTCCCTCTCCACCCTCCCTCCCCCACCCTTCCCCTTTAATAACCACTAATCCCTTCTTGGAGTCTGTGAGTCTGCTGTTGTTATGTTCCTTCAGTTTTGCTTCTTTGTTATACTCCACAAATGAGGGAAATCATTTGGTATTTGTCTTTCTATCTTTCTCTTCTCTGACTTATTTCACTGAGCATAATACCCTCTAGCTCCATCCACGTTGTTGCAAAGGATTTGTTTCTAACGGCTGAATAGTATTCCATTGTGAATATGTACCACATCTTCTTTAGCCATTCATCTACTGATAGACACTTAGGTTGCTTCCATTTCTTGTCTATTGTAAATAGTTTGCTGCAATAAACATAGGGGTGCATATGTCTTTTTGAATCTGAGAAGTTGTTTTCTTTGGATAAATTCCTAGGAGTGGAATTCCCGGGTCAAATGGTATTTCTATTTTTAGTTTTTTGAGGAACCTCCATATTACTCTCCACAATGGTTGAACCAGTTTACATTCCTACCAGCAGTGTAAGACAGTTCTCCTTTCCCTGCCTCCTCGCCAGCATTTGTTGTTCCAAGTCTTTTCTAGGTTGGCCATCCTAACTGGCATGAGGTTCTGTAATGTCCTTTTAAAACAAACAAGAAACTTCCATAACACGTCAGTTTTTCCTAAGCATATTTTCAATAAAAAGTGTTAATCTGAACAACACTTTGATAGTAAATTTAAGAATTGTGATAGCATAAATATTTATTCTTAATCAAACCATATTATTTTAGATAAATAATAGACATTGTAAGAACTTTTATTCTTATAGTTGGGGCAAAAGAAACACAAAAGTTTTCATTTGACTAGGAATTCCTTTCATTTGACTAGGAGCTGGAGTTGTTAACAGTTATGAAAATAATCATCTCTTAACCTGTTTTATGAACTTCTGCCAGCAATTTTGGAACACATCCATAACTATTAAAGATGTTTTGTAGCTAACTTTAAAACAATTGCTGACCTTAACCAGCAGACTTACATGACAATTTTTGTTTATTTTTGTATTAACTTATTCTGGAAAAGTGAAGAAAAGATAAACATCAGTTCAAGAAAGCAGCCAACAGAGACTTTTCCTAACATCTGTTAGTGAAATGTTGATATAAAATCCAACATTATATTTTCATTAAAAGAGTTATCGGGTGCAAGTTAAAAAAAAACTGGATTCTAAGACTAGAAAGGCTGGAACAAGGTAGAAATCTTAAAATAAATGCATTTTTTAAAGATTTGGAGCTTTTTATTTAAGTAAGTTCGTCATAAGTGACAATGTATTTTAAATACTTATTAAAAGCAAACCTCAAAGAAGGTTGAGGAAGCAGCCATAGCTGTAAGGAGAAGACTTTTAAGCTAATCCCCTTTATAATTTTTTTTCTTCATTGTTTTGCCAGTCCCACCAGTTCTCTCTTTTTTAGTGTCTGGGACATATTTTTTTCCTAAATATATAAATATAAAATTATGAGGAAAATAATAATATTCCTGAAGTTAACAGTTGTTATTTTCCATAGAAATTCAGTGATTTTTAAAAATTTAAGAAATCTTTCACAAAGGAAGTAGCAAGTAGAAAACTGGAATTGAGAAAAGGGGAAAATGATTGACCCCAGTCCTAAATCTTCCCGTCTCAGATTGAACTAACATTTGCTTCGAAAAGAGGCCCAAGCTTACTGAAGAAAATACAGGCAGCTCAGTGTTTGCAAAGTTCAAAGATAGGATGATGTGGCAGGAACAAATAGTATCTTTCTCTATTTTGCCCAGGTTTTTTCCTCAACTGGCTTCTAGGGAATATAAATCCTCATTGTTTGGTCTAAAAAGTGTACTAAAAAAGTTCAAAAAAATCACAACAAATGCCAGTCATAATCAGAACTTACCTGAGGGCACTACTTTACGTATTGCTAAAGGAGAAAATGCTCTGTGTTATTCTGATTTTGAAATAATCAATGCCAACCCAATAATATATACTTATAACACCTTCCCCAAAGAATTACTTGCCTGCAGGAATCCTCCATTAGTATCAGTTTGATCTGACCCCATTTACTGGATTCTTCTCATTAGTAGACAGTAAGGAGTAGTTCCATTTATTTGTTGAACAAATATTGTGCCTTGCTTTATGCCATGCACTGTCCTAGGTGTTCGGACTGTATCAGAGAACACAACAGGCAAAATTCTTGCCATGGTGGCATTTGTATTTCAGAGTTATATACTTAGAGGTAGTGATTTAAATTATTTTTAAGCGTGATCATTAAAGTTGATGTCATAAGAATGACATCCACAAAGTGAACTAACACAAACTGATACATATCAGGTTGATTTAGAAAGTTGTAATTCCTGGTTCTGCTACTTTGTTATTTAAATCTTAATCATGCCTGTCATACCAAGTCATTTTGAATATCAAATTTCATCCAAAAAGTGTATGTGAAAGTACTGTTTAAAATGAAAATTTCTGTATGAGTTTATAAGAGCCATGACCCTCTCACCACAGTCAGTCATTATGTCACTCTCAGATCACATTAGCCACTGTGACCAATCAGTCGTTTCAGTCTATAGACCAATCCTGGAAAAACACTGGAATATTTGGGGGGAAAATAAAGATGTTTTGTTTGCATTTTACATAATTTTATATACAAAGTTTATATGCATTATATACTATATGTACATTTCATAGTCAAAATATGTTGTGGCTTATTTCTTTATGATATGATATAGTTAGGGCTAAGTTCATAAATCCATATATACCTTTAAACAAGCCACAAAAGTAATTAGATTTTATTTTCAGGAGGCAATACCTGTGACACTAGATTGCATATTTGGCTGAATTACGGACATAAACTCATACTTAACAAATGGGCTTGTGTGAGTATGTTGTCTGTGATGGGGTCCTAACTAATTCATTGTTTCTGCTTTGGGAAAGGGAAAAACCACAATACAGAAAATGGCAGAGACATATATGGTCGGGCTTGATTTTTCTTACTTTCATATTTTAAAACTTAAGTGTTACAAGCTGTGTGAAACTCACCAAACTTGAAGCCAGTTTTCCTTAACATTGCATCCCATTTAAATTTTTGAAAATGGCCTTTTGTACTGTTTTAATTATCCTGCATCTAGTTTTTTTCCTACATTTATGTTTATTAAAAATTGACATTTTTTAAATCCTGTTTTAATCTTTCAGATCATAAGGCCTATGGATTCTCTGCCCCAAAAGACCATCAAGTTGTCACAGCAATAGAGTATCAAGGTAGAGTACCTTACTGGTTGTGGGGTAAATGGAAGTTTGCACCCAAACACAGACCGTGTTGGTTAAATGACTCATGAGTATGATGCATGGGATATCTTCTATTTGTTGGGACCCTTTGTCTTACACTAATTTTTCTGTCTGAAGTGCCACTCCCTGCTGTTTCAACCTTGAGAACTTTCTCCACCTCTTCAGTGGAAATATTGGGCATTTGCTGCAAGACCTGATATACAAAGATGGTCTCTTACTATGTAAATTATCTTCAAATCTAATTTGGGAAATTGGGAAATGGCAAAATCAAAGTTTCTGGCCAGCTAGATATGGTTAATGGAGATTAACACTGCAAATCCCACTCTGTTTAATATATTTCAGATGACATTAATATAGCCTATTTTGGGGCACCACTTTGTTATTTATTTCAGCTTCTTAAAAATATTTATAAGGGGGAGTTGGTCTTTAATGGGTATGAAGCTTCAGTTTTGAAGATGAAAATGTTCTGTAGACTGGTTGCCCAACAGTATGAAGATACTTAACACTGTATCATAAAAAATTATTAAGAAGGTAAATTTTAAGTTACAGGTATTTTACCACAATTAAAAAATTTTTAAAGCTCCAATAACCAAGAAAAATGTAATAAGGGCTTTTATAAGTTTATTTCAAATAATGAGTCTTCTACTTTTCTTAAGGATCTTTTACCTAGAACACAATAATACTAGGCAACCAGAAGAATTACTATTTCTTTTTTCTTTATTGGAATAAATTTGATACACAATATTATTTTGGGGTTTCAGATGTACAATGTAGTGACTTGATAATTATATACATTACTAGTTGCTTGCCACAAGAATTACTTTTTCTTAAATGTGATGCTTGTTTAGGCCAGGGATCATGAACTTTGAAGAAACAAGTCCTGACTATCTGATCCCTCTTCTTCAGGCATATCTTAGGTTCTTGGAGTTGAAGACAGATTAGTTTGAAGGAAAGGGACAAAGATGAAAGAAAAGAGCTTAGGTGAGGAGGGAATTAAACAAATTAGTCTTGAACCAGTGCTTACAACAGCACCTGGTATGTAGTGTTAAATATGCTTGTCCAGTAAAAATATCCCATAATAAGAATCAGCCCATCATTCAAAAGTAACAAACCACTTAAATAGGTGGTTTAAGAAATAAGAAAATAAGAAAAATGAAATAATTATAAAATAGCTTAACAAATCACTTAAATAACTATTTAGGTTAATCAAGTTAAGTCCTAATATTTTACATGATTAAGCTAATAAAGCACTCATTCTTTATCATGAAGTAGTTTTAAATAGGGAAAGTGGGAAGATAAAATTGATGCTTGGGAGTGAATGGAACTACGGAGCATTCATAGGGGGGATCAATGGGGCTGCACGAGATGCCAGAAAGGTGATAGACAAGGCCAAGCGCATGAGCACAGTGAGAGGAAAAATGGGTCAGGATGTGACGTTAATTTCTCCTACTTTTTACTTCCTGGAGGTTCTCACTGTTGGATCAAACTGGATATCATGGATAGCATCTCTGCCAGCCAGCTCTATGCCATGATATCTGAATTAGCGTACCAAAATTATGTTTTTTAGTTCTACATTGCTTTTAAAAAACTTTATTGAGGTGAAATTCACATAACATAAAATCTACCATGTTCCACTGAACAATTCAGTGTGTGGTGTAACTACTACCTCTTCTACTTCCAAAACATGTCCATCATTCCAAATTAAAACCTTAAACCATTTACCTTACTTTTTAATGGGTGTTTTATTTTAACAGAAAATCCTTCTATAATTTATTGCAATCAAATGTTCATCTTATTCTCAAATAACTATTTTTTGTTTGTCTGTTTGACCTCTGCTTTTAATTAAGAACTACATTTTGATTCTATTTTTTATATGTGCCCAATCATGCCAACTTGGCTCTTCATAAAGCAAAAATAAATTTCTGTCTTCTTCCACATTTTAGTTTTAGGATATTTTATGCCATAACTTAATTTTAGGTATAGTCTAAAGTCTTTATGATTTGTGTGTATGTGTATGTGTGTTCCACCCAATGAACTCAATTTTTTGTCTCTTGTCTCTGTAATGTTGGCAAATCATGAAATCCTTCCTTATTTTCACTACTGCTATTCTATAGAACTTCCCATGTTAGTACCAAAAGCAGGATGAGATCAAATAGGGGCAGTTCTGCCACGTTTGTAAATTATATGAGCAGCCTTATGCAGAGAGTGTCTAACCCTGAGAGCTATAAATCAGAGTGCATCATAATGTAAGTTGGTCACGGGGATGGTAGTATGGCATGGAAGATATGGCCAGTGGTTCTGTGACATCCTCCTATGTTGACAGATAGTAACTTCACTAGTGGGAGTGAGGATTTACTAATATGGGTAACTGTTGAACCACTCTGTTGTTGTATACTTGCAACCAATGTAAGATTGTTTATCAGTAATACTTCAACAACAAAAAATCAGAGTGTAATAACATGCTTTTCTCCACACTTTGGTAGTATTGATTTTCTTTTTGTGTTATATAAACTTTTGATGATTTTTAATTTGAGCAGATAGCAGAATAGAATCCTAGAAAAATTAAAACTCACAATGATTCTATGTAATTCCTAAAAATTGTTGCTAATGCTAATGGTTTTTCTAAACAAAGAATTTATCTTTTCTCCATTCAAGTGAAACAAATTTTGGCAATGAAATAATTATCTTAACTAAAAAACTTGGTGCATTTTTCTGTTTTAATATGCCTTGTTTTGAGAAAATATGATTTATGTCTATATTACATATTTGCTATATTGAACAAAGGTAACAGGCTAGTTCAGATTTGAGTGTTTTTAGGTAATTTGCGATGTATGAAGTATGGATTTCTGTCATGTCAAGCAAGCTGACAACTATAGCTAAGAAGTTCCTCCCAGTGAAAAGTAATAATGACCATTTTTGGAGCATGTGCTATGTACAAATTACTGTGGGTACCCAAGTATATAAATGCATTATCTCATTTAATCTTTACACCAACTCTGTGAGATGAGTTCATTTTACAGATGTGGACATAACATTCAGAAAAAGTTCGGTAATTTTGCCCAATATCACACACCTAGTGCATGGCAAAGGCTTAACTCCAAAGCCTGTGTGTTAATCTACTATATTATGGCATAATATACCTGAGATCGAGATGCAGAATTATGCTGGCCACGAGTGTTGAATTTTGGCTGGAAAGAGGGGAGTCTGTGGTAGCTTCTAAATTCACTTGGTCCCTTTTCTCACATGTTGACCCCGTGATTCCAGTAGATGGAGTGTTTCTCACAATTCTGGAGGTCAAGGTTTTGGCACCTTGGGATTCAGGCACTGGCTGTTTCCTTTCTTGGAACCCTCCCATAGTACCACGTGGTTATTTCTAAATTTAAATTCTAAGGGACTGTCATTCAAATTCTAAGGAATGCTAGTCCCTTCTTCTAAGTCTTTGGCCAAATGTTATCTTCTAAGAAGTGAACTCTAACCACACAGTTTTTTAAAAATTGCATCCCTGTCCCGCAGCACTCCCAAACTTCCCATGCTCTGATCTACTCTCTTTTATTTCCATATACTCATCACCTCCTAATGTACTACATAATTCACTTAATGGTGTTTCTTGTGTGCCTGGTTCCCCCTGCAAATTTTAAGATCCAAAAGGACAGGGGTCTTTGTTTTGCTCACTGATGTAGCTCAAGAATAATGTTAGACACACAATAGGGATTCAATAGGTTGGACAAACTGGGCAGATCATTTCTCCATGTTTTATGTGGTCAGTGAGAGTGAGTCTGGAGTGGTGTCATTACATTTAGGAAAATCATTGATTTCATTTTCAGATACATTTCTGCAGACATTTTTCACAGAGCAGTGAGAACAGAAATCAGGAAGAATAATTCACCAGGAGGGGTGTGTGTGAGTGTGTGTGTTTGTGTGTGTAGTTAAATATATGAGGCAATGTGATTTTTTTTAATATAAATTTATTCCTAAGACCTAGGAGTGTGGGCTAAAAATGAGTGTGGGTGTGTGTTTAATTGTTGGAAACTCAACAAAATACGGGAAGGAAACCTATCTAAAACTCAAGACTCCGGAAGGTCACCACCCATTCTCCTTCATCAACAGAACAGAATCGTGTTTCCTCAGACAAGTCCCTCAGCACACATTTGTCTCCGTAGCATAATTGTAAACATGTCTGTAAAATGATCTCTTTGTTATGTAAAACCAGCTTTAAAAACTTTAGGTATTCTTGAAAACAACTTCTGGGTGTTGTTGTTTTTTTTTTCTTTGCCTTTTCTGCCCTACTTTCCCTTTTCTATTATCTTTTATTCTATTTCTGTATTTCTATCAATATATGTGGCATTAAAAAAATTTAGAAACTACATAGAAAAAAAGAAAACTCATAATTCTATCATAGAAATCATCACTGGGTTAGTATGTTTAAATGTGCTTTTTGTCCATATCTATCTGTATATTTTTAATAATACCTTTTTAAAATTGTTTTCTATGTCCAGGCATGTGTGCTTGCATACATTTTTGTATTTGAAGACTCATGACAATTCTATGAGATACTATCTGATTTTACAGATGGTAACTGAGACTAAAGAACTAGGGAATACAGCATAGTGTCACACAGTGTGTAGAAGAGCTATAAGGCTTTCATTTCATCTTTGGTTTAAGCCGACATGGTACTTGTTGAGGTAATCTTTGAATGAATGGATGGATGGATGAAAATATAAAGGAATAACTTAAAGATGTTTAAAAATTTACTTAAGTATCTTTGTTATTGCTCCTAGAGGTTATTTTAGCCTGTAAATACCCAAGGAAGACCACTTCCTCCAGATTGGAGTGGAAGAAACTGGGGAGGAGTGTTTCCTTTGTCTATTATCAACAGGCTCTTCAAGGTAAGAAGCTGCAGACCTGACGAGGTGAGATATCAAGATCCCCAAGTACAGCCAAATCCTTTAATTTGCAAATGAGAGCAAGGCATGGCTGATTACTGAAAATGTGTTTTTTGTAAGTGTGAGGTGAAACCAGCAGTCGCTGAGACCCAGAACGCGACCACCACAAAAGCAGAGGGCAGAACAGAAGCAGGCAAGCATCACGGCGGACCCTCATTTCTCAGTTCAGTCCTAGCCTATGAAGTACATTGAGATTGTTCTTGCTGGCCCAAAAGATTAAACTTTTGAGACAAAGAAAGATGGTGCAGGGTTGGACGGAGGGTCACTGCATGCTGTGATAGCTTTACCCTGTTTTCACATCACCATCTAGAAAGCTCAGCCTTCCCTGAGAAGCTCAGAGAGCTAAGACTTGTAGAAGGGTCAGTACAACTACCTTCATCCAGTGCATTACTTCTTAATTTTTAATTTGTATTACATTTCTTTCTACTCCCTTGTCTTCCTGTTGAATATGTAATGAGCTTTTAATTTAAACTGTTAATAAACATAGATAAAATGCTATGATGTCTGGGATTTCCTTCAAAATGACCCAGTGGTTAGAGGTACAGGTGTAATGAGATAGGCCATGCATTGATTACTGTTAGAACTGGGTGATGGGTACGTTGAGTTCACTCTACTATACAGTATCTCAAATTTTGTGTATGCTTGAAATTTTCCATCATAAATATTTTTAAAGTTGGAAATGTAATTTTAAGAGTGTAATAACATGTCACTATTTAAAAGTACTGCATATTGCAGCTGGCCCTTGACCAACATGGGGATCAGGGTCACCAACTCCCATGCTATCAAAAATACGTAACTTTTGACTCCCCAGAACTTAAATACTAATAGCCTGCTGTTGACTAGAGACTGTACAGATAACATAAACAGTCAATTAACACATATTTTGTATGTTATATGTATTGTATACTGTACTCTTACAATAAAGTAAGCTAGAGAAAATGTTTTTTCAAGTTGTCAAAAATCTCCATAAAAATTTTCCAATATATTTACTGAAGAAAGTCCACATTTATATAAGTGGACTGTGCAGTTCAAACCCATGTTGTACTTTAAAGAATTAAAACAAGTGCACTAATGCTTAAAGTTCATAGATAATTTAAAATATCTCTTGGTTCTTAAGTGTCATGATAAAGACTATAGACAACGGGTTGCTAATAACACAGCTGTCTTTACTTGTATTTTCTACAGTTGCCATTCTGGCACCTCAACATTGTACAAACACTGTTTTAATTCCATACACATTACTATCAAAAATTAGCCAAAATAATGTTCTTAAGACCTCCTCTCCTTTATTTTTGTAGTAGTATTATGTGGGCCACCACACATAAAGTTACTCTTCCAGCTAATTAAGCTAATCACTCCAGTATCTTGTAAACATGGGAATATTTTTATAAGTATACTAGCAAGGGAGTGAGACCAGGAAAGAGGGTTGAATTCTTTAAAATAAAATATGGAAATTGGAACTGAATGTTCTTTTGTGAGCAGTATGTCATTCTAAAAGAAGGAGAAATTTGAAATAGCACCATATATACATAACTTTTAAATATTAAATTGAGTTTATTAATGGGAATATCAGTGCATTGGTTACTGAATAAAGGGTCTTGAGGGGGGTTATATGTAGAAAGTTATTTACATTATTATTAACATCATTGTCTTGTTTTTCTGAAAGGTGATTTTAAAGATCGAGCTGAGATGATAGATTTCAGTATACGGATCAAAAATGTTACAAGAAATGACGCTGGGAAATATCGCTGTGAAGTTAGTGCCCCATCTGAGCAAGGCCAAAACCTAGAAGAGGATACAGTCACTCTAGAAGTATTAGGTGAAGTGCTATAGCTGTGTGATTACTGTTCCCGCCCTCCTCCCCATTACCTGGCCCTGGTCCCAGTCAGTAAAGTTACCACCAGCTCCTTTTCTATGGAGAGGTTATTTCTCCCTTCCCCTCATTGGCTGAAATTCTACTATTACTAATTCATTATGAAAAATTCTCTTTTCACTTAAGATTGAGGTAAATCTTAATGATCTTATGAGTGCATTTCCCCTATGAGTTCATTTTTTGATAGCTTTCAGCTTATGAAGTATTTTCCTACTGTGTAAACTTGTATCACATGAGATGATAGAAAAGCAATAAAAAAGGTAGGCCAGCAGAAATATTAAAAGTTATTTGTCAAAGAAAGGAAATTAGAACTTATTGTGCAACTAGTAAGTGTTAGGCTCTTTCACATATGTAATTTTACTTACTCTTCACTAACAATGGGATTTTTACAGATGAGGAAATAGAAATTAAATGATTTCCGCAAGTATACACAGCTAGTAAGTGTCTGGACCAGGATTTGAATCCTGATGGGGTCAACTCCAAAATCAATATATTTAGTTACTATAAGTACCCCAGATAGATATTAACAGCTCCTGATGACAACTGGTGGAAGAATACAACCTTTTCTTCTCCAAACATGTTAGTATAAACTACCAAAAAGAATAAAATAACCCCTCTTTCTTTTCCTAAGCAATCCAAACTCTTTCTAAACTACTAGTGATGATAGAACAAATTTAATTTAGAAAACCTTGCAAGAGAATCAGCTGGTATGTCTTCCACTGCTATGCAGCAGATGACCAAAAACTAGCAGTTTAAAACCCATTTATTAGCTCATAATTTTGTAGATCAGAAGTCCAGCATGGTAAGTCCAACATTGTAAGTGAGGCTGGTGCTCTGCCCCAGGTATCACTGGCTGAAATCAAGATGTCAGCCTGGCTGAGTTTGGGGAAACAGCTTCTGCCAAGGTCATGTGTGTTGGCAGACTCCAGCTCCTCGTGGTTTTGGAGGTGAGGCCCCCGTTCCATGCTGGCTGTGAGCGGGGGTCTGTGCTCAGCTCCTAGAGCCACCACACTCCTTGCCGTGTGGTCCTCTACAGTCCAACAAAAGCATGTTGAATCTTTCCTGTTCTTTGAATCTGTGACTTTCCCTGCTGTGACCAACCAGAGAAAACTGCTCTTAAAGAGGTCATGTGTTTAGGTCAGACCCATCTATATAATCTCCCTATCTTAAAAGACACTGGATTTGGGACCTTAATTACATCTCCAAAATACCTTCAGAGTAATACCTAGCTTAGTGTTTGATTGAATAGCTGAGAGAAAGGATATATATACCAGGGCTAGGGAACTTGGGGTACCATCTTTGAATTTTACCACAGACAGTTCTGGTTTTCCTGGATTTGAAGGAACTTCAAAGTGAAGTCTGGTTTACTTTGTAAATCCCTGGGACCAGAATAACCTTAACTTCGGTATTGTTTAACTTGGCCAGCACGAAATTTTTAGTTTGAGTATTGGGCCTAAAAAATATACTTAGGTTTGACTTCTTTTGAATATAGTTGATAATAATACATTAAAACCATTGGTGAGGGAAAAAGCAGAAATTGTTTATGCAAAAAGGGGATAATTATTGTAGTAGCTAATGTAATGCTTGCTGTTATAACAGGTAAAACCCTGAACTCTCCGTGAGTGGCTTAATATTATAGAAGTTTCTTTCTCATGTAAGTCAAGTCCAAACACTTGGGGCAGAGACAGTATGGTGGAACTATATTGTTTCACTTCATGAAATCATTAGAGACCCAACCTGGTGTAAGTCTCACATCTTTAACACATAGCTTTCTGAGGTGTTGACACCTACTTGGTAGCGGATGGGAATAGAGAGAGTGACTGAATGGGAACTCACAGAGGAGGCTTTTATGGATCAGGCCTGGAAATGGCATGCGTTACTTTCCCCATCATCCATTGGCCAGAACTCATGCAATTACCCTATCTGGCTGCAAGGGGGCTGGTAAAATGTGGTCTGGCTGTGTGCCCAGGAAGAAAGGAAACGGGTCTCTGGGACAAGTAGTGGATCTCTATCCCAGGCATCCACTAAGTCCATCTTTACCTGGCTGTTAAAATCCTTGTTTAGCTTATAAATAACCAGTATAATTTGACTTCCATCCTCAGTGGCTCCAGGAGTTCCATCCTGTGAAGTACCCAATTCTGCTCTGAGTGGGACTGTGGTAGAGCTGCGATGTCAGGACAAAGAAGGGAATCCAACTCCTGAGTACACATGGTTTAAGGATGGCATTCGTTTGTTAGGAAATCCAAAACTTGGCTCCCAAAGCACCAACAGCTCATACACAATGAATACAAAATCTGGAACTCTGGTAAGGTCATTTCAAGTACTGGCCTAACAGCTGTCTTGCATTGGGGAAAAAATATTATTAGGACTAAAGTAATGGCCAATAGAGGGCTGATACCATTGCTTGGTAAGTGGAAAGAGGAAGGGGCAGCAGTATGTGCCCAGAGAAGTGATGGAACAGGCTGCTACAGGATATGGGATGTCAGTTCAGAGGAGTAAGGTGCTGGGGGCACAAAGGTCTGCACCAGGGACCTGAAGCAGGCCAAGTGTAATTCATGATGAGGGACCAGGCCGCTCACTATAGCAGCTGTCCTGGCCTCAAAAGGTAAGTGCAATCTCATCTTTACAGTGTCTGGGAATTGCATGAATGCTCTCTTGGGGATGTCCTGACCCCAGTGCCAGCCATGTGAGAATAGTCACTCTTGCCAACCTAGAATAGGATGTCTGTGTCATTAAACTCTTCCATGACTAGGCTGCCAGCTATTGACCCTCTGACTTAAGTATCTATTACTTTAGATTTAGCCCAAACTTTCTGATCAATTGAAATGCCTTTCTAGGACTACTGACAGAAACCTATAAATAAAATAAGTTCTTAAGGTTAATGACATTTAAAAATCAAGGTATTTTTACCTTTTTGTCTCTGACTTCCAGGTTAGAGGTCAGGGTAAAAAAAAAGAAGTTTTTTTTTTCCTTCATTCAAAGTAATAGAAAATACCAGTTTTAAAATGTCTGATTTCCAATTATGCAGAATCACTGCCAGGGCCATTATCAAAAAATCTTAAAGGCATAGTAATTAATGATTTTAGAGAATTTTAAAAGGAGTGTATAATTGTTCCCCTTCATTCCTTCAATCTGTAAGTGCACAATGTCATTTTAAAACTAGATTCTCTGACAAATAATAAAGCATATTGATAAAGTGGTAAGTAATAAAGCATACCGATGGATGTGGCTACTGCCTGAGGAAGGCTGTGCTCCGGCCCTTTCAGGTGTCAGCAGGCTCAGTCAGCAGGTCCAACTGATGTTTACACTGAGAAACTGAGCAGAAAATCTGCCGTCACACTCTGCTATATTTACTTTTCAAACTTATTTTTTCTCAGAGCAGGTGATAAAAGCCCTGGGGCACATCTAAAACGATATAGATTCACTTTCCTCAGTTAGCCTCAACCCTTGAAATATCTCATGATGTCAAAGGGAGGCACCAGGGCAGACCTGGGATGGGTTATTTTCTGAGAAATGAGCAACAAAGACTTCATTGTAGGGATGATAATGATTTCCTTTTAATTACCAGTTATAATGTGCTGGAAGATTATTTGGGTTTTTAGTTAAATCTGTTGTTTATATGCAGCATTGGCCTTGAGTTTGTGGTGAATATTTTTAAAGTAGTCTGGCTTTTAAGACAGTGAGAGATGATTCCATAAAGTGAAAATACACAAGGAGATGCTTTCTGTCCCAGTCTCTTGAGGTATACAGAAAGAAGGGGCATGTAGGTAGTGGGTAAAGGGAAGGGAGAGAGGAAAAGAAGGTAACAGATCAAAATCCTGGCTGTTCTTACGAACATATATTGCATGAAAATCTAAGACAATGAGGAGGTGCTCCTTGGAGGTTCATGGGTCTCTTGGGTGTAGTCCGCAGTGACCCGAGGTTGAGTTGTGGCAAGAGGGTGCTGAAAGAATGAGTCTCAGCACTCTTCTTAGCTCTGCACTGGTCCTGGCAGGATACTTTAGGGTGTCCAGGACCCACTGCTTTCCGTCTCTACTAACTAACTAACTTCCATTTATTCATCTATCCCTTCTTCCCGCTTCCCTCCCTCCCTCCCTCCCTTCCTCCTTTCTTTCTTCCTTCCTTCCATCCAACCATCTCTCTTCCCATCCTTCTTGTCTCCCTCCCTTTATCCCTCCTCCCTTCCTTCCAGAAATTCTCCAAGGGGATAAAGTTAGTAACAATTACGAAGCTGTTTATATCCAAGTCTTACCTTTCAGTTGCTTTGACAGGAAGTGCAAGGAGCAAGGGTTGGACTTTCATTTTCATCTTTTCAGAGTTTTCAAAAATTCTATAATCAATAGAATTTTTATTCTAGGAACTACCTTGATTAAGACTTTTTTAGCCCCTAGGCTACTTCCTGGTACTAGGTCTGGCTTTTAGGAGGAAGTGTTAAATGTGTGCTGCTGCAATGAACTCACTATGACGTAGAAACTGCATTAGCCCTTTCAGGGCAAGGAGGCCTTCGTTTACAAATGGTGTCTCCTAGGAATTAGAAATACCTGCTATACTCAATACTTCCATGTGCTATAAACTTTAAAAAACATCCACTGCCTTCCTAACTGTACTGCTTTCTTGTATCACACAGAAGAGATATTTCCCTATATATATTTTTTCTTTCTCTGTCAAAATAAACAGGAGGCCCAGCTATTCACTCCTTGAAGGTATGGCAGATTTTTTTATGCAGTCAAGATATAAAGTCCTACAGAAAGACCAACTTAATGGTAAAATTCAAGGGAAAAAATTGTTTTAGGAGTCTACTTATGAATTTACTGCTTAAAAAACATATTTCATTCCACAAACAGCAATTTAACACCGTTTCAAAAGTGGACAGCGGAGAATATTCCTGTGAAGCACGTAATTCTGTTGGCTATCGTAGGTGTCCTGGGAAACGAATGCAAGTAGGTAAGCATGAAATATTGGAAGAAACAAATGGTTTGCAATTAGAGCATGCAAATATATGGGGATGGGAAGGAGCAAGGTATAGGAAAGGGCTGAGTGATATGAAGTATAAACCAGAGTAATGTTTAAAATTGGCTTGACAATGTGTTGCAAGAAGCAAAGCTTCTGTTTTTAATTTTTAATCATCTCCTAATACTTAGCATCACACTTTACAAATATTGGAATTTTTCAAATAATTGTTTTAAAAAATATTCTCATCTGAACAATCTTCATTCAAATGAAAGATAAAAGTCTTGTGAGTTCTTCAGGGTCAAGGATTTGGTGTGTGTGTAGGGGAGGCAGAGTTTGAATTCTGGCTCCATCATTTACTAACTACATACTCTTGGGCAAATTATTTAATCTCTGTGCCTTAGCCTCCTCAAAATGGAAGTAGTAACATGCTGTCTTCATAGAGCTATTATGAAGATTTAAATGATCAATATTTGAAAGTGTTAGAATAGTGCTAGAGTACTGTATTATGAGTTGCCTTTTTAGTTGTTTTCAGGTTGTGGTTGATAATACTTTTAATCCCCTAAAATACTCTGCTTATACTTATCACAGAGTAGGCTCTCAAGAAAGATGCTGAATGTAGTTATGGATCTAGTTTGCTATCAAACATGGCTGCCATACATTATATTTCACAAAATAACCTTCTTCGAATCCAATAAAATAAATGCTATAGACTCTTTTCAGATTATTTGAGTTTCAGAGCAAACTTTTTTCATTTTATTTCTAATAATTTGGTTTAATTCTTCCTTGCATTAGCCATATGTTTTGGAAATGTTTGTGTAATTGATAGGGATATCTGGAGATGGCACCTGAAACATTAAAGGTCACCCAGGAGGGCTACAGCCCGAAGCAGAATACTGAGGGATCTTCTTGGTTCAGCAGCTTGTTCTGAGCTTTGTGGGGTTGGAAATTCATTTTTTTGTGTGTAATTAGAGGTATGCAGTTACATGCACACTAGTTTGTATTGTCTATCTACAGTTAAACTCAGCATTGTTTTTTAAAGAAAATATAATCTTACTAGACTTCAGGATATTCTAAAGCACAAGACAATAATATATTTTAATTTCACACAAGTTAAGTTTTAATTTCAAGTCTTTTAAATTCAGGGATATAGACAAGGGGTTAACATCCAAAATATATAAAGAACTCACACATCTCAACACCCAAAAGGCAAATAACCCTATTAAAAATTGGGTGGAGAATGTGAACAAACAGTTCACCAAAAAAGAAATTCAGATGGCCAAAGGGCACATGAAAAGATGCTCCACATCACTAATTATCAGGGAAATGCAAATAAAAACCACAATGAGATATCACTTCACACCAGTTAGGATGGCCAGTATTGAAAAGACTAAGAACAACAAATGTGGAGAAAGGGGAACCCTCCTACACTGCTGGTGGGAATGTAAGCTAGTTCAACCACTGTGGAAAGCAATATGGAGGTTCCTCAAAAAACTAAGAATAGAGTTACCATTTGACCTAGAAATTCCACTCCTAGGAATTTACCCAAAGAATATGATTTCTCAGATTCAAAAAGACATATGCACCCCTATGTTTATCGCAGCACTGTTTACAGTAGCCAAGATATGGAAGCAACTTAAGTGTCCATCAGTAGATGAATGGATAAAGAGGTGGTACATATACACACTGGAATACTATTCAGCCATAAGAAAGAAACAAATCCTACCATTTGCAACAACATGGATGGAGCTAGAGGGTATTATACTCAGTGAAATAAGCCAGGTGGAGAGAGACAAATACCAAATGTTTTCCCTCATTCATGGAGTATAACAACGAAGCAAAACTGAAGGAACAAAACAGCAACAGACTCACAGACTCCAAGAAGGGACTAGCGGTTACCAAAGGAAGGGTTGTGGGAGGATGGTTGGGGAGGGAAGGAGAAGGGGATTGCGGGGTATTATGTTTAGTACACATGGTGTGTGTAGGATCACAGGGAAGACAGCGTAGCACAGAGAAGGCAAATAGTGAATCTGTGGCATCTTATTACACTGATGGACAGTGACTGCAGTGGGGTATGGGGGGGACACAATAACATGGGTGAATGTAGAAACCACATTGTTTTTCATGTGAAACATTCATAAGAGTGTATATCAAAAATTACTTAATAAAAATAAATAAATAAATAAATTCAGGGATACATATTATCTACCAAATTCAGTCAAGTATTGACATATATAGTCAAACATAAACGTTTGCTTAAAATATAAGAAAGTGACCCTCTTAATGGTGCTTTGGAGTTATTAAAAAATTTCATCAGAACATGCTTAAAAATTAATGCATTAATCCAGTGTTTTCCTAACTTCATTCATTCACATACTATCCTCGTAGTTTTTACCATAGCCTTCTACCATCTACGCTATTACTTTTTACATTTTCTTTAAGTGGTCCTGCTTAATTTCAATATCTAATTTAGTCTCATCTTAAGAATAATATCTGTGAAGTCATGCTGTTGACATACTAGTTCTGTATATCTACTCCTTTTGGTATAAGTTCGCTTTAAAATTAAAATAAGTTTGCTTAATGCTCATCTATCAATCCTAAGTGTTTCATGCCCTTGGTTTGGAACTTAGATCTTTTGAAATACATAAGAATTCATGAAATCTTATGTCCAGTTTTCTTTGTGAATTATCACTAATAACTTATAACCACAGACAGAATCTGTTAACTGTTCTAAAGAAGTCCTTAAAGTATAGAAAGACAGTAAATCATGGGTTTGCTGATTACTCCCAGGCTGCTTTATTCTGTAACTCCAGAAGACCCCACTCACACTTAGCATCTTAGGGGTTTGGTTCCTTTCCTTTTGGTTAAGGGAATGATACCTTCCTTCTACAGTGGCTCTTTTTTTTTTTTCCAGAGAAAGAACACAAAATATTCTCATGTGTGTTGTTACATTTTCTTTTCAGTGAAGCATAAGGTGGTTATATGACTTTCTCAGTATCTCATGGTAAATAGCAAATGAGATGAAAACGTTCCTCTAACTTAAAGTCTTCTATCTTCTATTTCATTGAAGGAAGTAAAATAAAATTTACCCATGACTTAGCACTTACAGGATAAGAATTTTTGTTAGAATTTGCTTTTAGGTTGAACCTTTTATAGATGTTAAATTCATTGACTACTACAAAGAAAATAGTAGGCACAGTTTGTTCCTCAGGAGTTTCATTTAGCTATTAATTTAATTTTGCATTAGAATATGATTATTGTGGGTTTTTTTCTCTCTCTCTCTGATAGTTTTCATCCAATAATAGCTGAATTTCATTGACCTCTCAATATTCAAGCAAAAATGAACTGAGTTTATACCAAGCAACAGTTAATGTTTATCACTCTGGTCAAATTATTTGCCCTTTCAAAAGATTTATTCAGTTTATTTTTATAAAACAAAACAAAACAAAAACAGTTAATATTTCAGTTATCTGAGAAAATTATTTAGGTTTGGCATTTAGAAAGAATTTTGAGACCAGAAGTTTTAAGATAAGCAGACTCACTTAATTTTTCTAGAAAAATCTTTCTCAAAATGAGCACTGCTTTTAAATATTTAACATTGCTGTTGAGAAAGTGACACCTAATATTTTCTCCAAGTTATTTAATGTCATGCCAATTAATACTTGCTTTTAAAAACCAGAACTCTTTGAGGGATTACTCCTTTAAAAAGTTCAGGTAATTTACATGTTAAAACATAGGAATTATAAAAGACAGAAGAGTATGGCTCATGAAATCTTTATGGACAAAATGGAGAGATGTGACCCAAATTAAATGCTGAGATGGATTCACATGTAGTTGGATCTCACACCCAGACCATACTAATAAATTGTCTTATGTGAAGAGTTACATCTAATAGCTTGTTATATAGTTATTTCCATAAAAAAGCCATATTTGTCATTTTACTAGTGATTTGCATGAGGGTATTTTTATGGAGTTCCCAGGTGCAGAAATATAAACCTTGCAAGATTAATAATCCAATGCTTGGGAATCAGAATCATGATCTGAAAAAAAACTCACAAGCTTCTAACATGGTAATGATTTCAAACTTGAGTCCAAAAAATTCAGTTGTATTAGGTTAGAGGAGGGATGACTTAGTATCAACAGGAAAAAGCCTTGTAGTATTTAATTCATTTTAAACTTAATGGGATGACAGTTTACTGGCATAAATGTATGTAGGGATGTATGTGTGTATATGTACATACACACAAGCCCATACAAATTCAAGAAGGAAGACATACCTGACACTTAGTTTTATAGAACAACAGCGCAGGCTTTCTTTGGGGCTGAATGAGTTTTCTCTTATTTGTGGAAGGACACAGATAATGATGTACAAGAATTTTAAGTAAAATTTTGGGGGGAGGGAGTAAACTGTGTGAACTCAGTGAACTTTGAAGAGAACTTCCAATCTGATAGTTAATCATATGAATTATTACATCTTCAAATGAATGTCAGAGAATATCATACATAGATCTGGATCATAGGACTTCTTAAAATTTAAGATCCTTACAAAACTTAGTTGTTAATATTTCCAATAAATTTTGAATTGTGTCCTGGAAGTTGAGTCAGTTGAACAGGCTTCAGCAACATGAAACTATCCACATTTATGGTATGACTGCAAAGGGGAGCTTCCTTGAACTTTTGAGTTTAATGACTCCATCTGCCCATCTATTTGATGTGACCTCATGCATGGCTTCTTTCGCATTCCAGACGATCTCCACGTAAGTGGCATCATAGCAGCTGTGGTAGTCGTGGCCTTAGTGGTTTCTGTTTGTGGCCTTGGCGTGTGCTATGCTCAGAGGAAAGGCTACTTTTCAAGTAAGTGAATTTCACCCTTCTTTGCTAGACAACTTTCTGTGGATATAGAGTGTTCTCATGAGATACTGTTTCTCCTAAGATGTCCTAACAAACTCTGGAGAATATTTTTCATTGATATTCCTGCAGCAGAACATGTCCCAGATGGCATGTAGGTGAGCCTTGAAGCACCTTATCACATAGGGAGGAAAAGCAGAGCCACCTCATCACAACATTTCAGATTCCAGGGAACACAGCAGAACATGTGAGAGGAGTGGCATGGTGCAGCAGTACTGAGAGAAACTCAGTGTGGGTGGATATTTTTATAGCATATTTACATGTATTTAAGATCTCTTTAAGTTAGGCATTGCATACTCAAAATGTAAATTGATTTCTAGTTTTATGATAAGAAGTTTCATTGAAATAAATCTGTGAAATGTTTTCTCAGTGTAGAAAAATGGAATATTGAATATCAAGCTTAACTGTATTTAGAAGAGAATTGTTCAATAAAAACTAGAAACTTATTGTATTAGTTGCTTCTGAACAAGGTTTTAAATTCTTCAGATTTAGACCTCTTCTAACTCCATACACCTATTTGATGATGCAGTAGATCTGATGTAAATGGGTGATATTTTAAAATAATTTTTTATTCTCTTACTGCATTTCTTCACTCCCAGTCTTTAAAATTATTTGAGAGCTCAAAAGCTACAACTCCATCAAGTCCATTGGGGATAGTGTACAAAGTAGAATTTTTAAATGGAATAATAAATAAATTTATAGCATGAACAGGTTTTAGACCCACTGTTTTACAGTGAACATTAATTTTGGAATTTAGGTTTAAAAAATATTTTAAATCAAAATAAAACTTAAATTTAAAAGGGTTTACTAGTAATATCTATAAATAGGTATTAAGTGTCATAAAATGTTTCCATGAACATGAGTCCAAGGATATTCTGTGTACTTCAGAGTAACTGGTATTTGAATTAATAGCTGTCCTTTGGGTGATGCTCCAATCTTGTCCAGGGTCGTGTAATTTTATAAACAGACTCCAGCTGAGCCCCCTGCTGGCCTCCAGTGAAAGTACAGACAGATAAGATAACTTCAAAATGCGTATCATCTCTCTGCTTCAAAAAAAAAATTGGGGTGTTTTTATTGAAGACTTGGCAAACGAATTTTTCTTAAAATACTGAGTTACTTAAAGATTTGTTTGGTGTATTAGTAGCTCATTAGATAAGAATGTTACTCTGATGTCATCTGACAGAAAAGCATTCTCTATCCAAGAGAAGCATTTTCTTGAACTTGCATTTCAGACAGGGTTTGGCAAACTAGGACCTGTGGACGAAATCCAGCCTGTCACATGACTTTCTATGGCCCATGAGCTAAGAATGGTTTTTACAGGTGAACATTTGCAAACTATTTATAATAGAGAACACTAACATTGAACCCTAAGTAAGAGAAATGTTATCCCTCCAAAAAGAATTCCATTCTTCTAATTAGTTGGCCTGTGTTACAAGGCTTTAGGTGTTATTATTATTTTAATTCCATTGGTAAAATTTTTGGAAATTTTTTTCTTTTTTGTTATGTAGGTACCTACATAATATCCTATTTTACTTCCTGGGCCACAAACTCTACAATATTTGCCATGTGGTCATTTACAGAAAATGCTTGCCAACCCTTGATTTAGAAAGTATATATGTCAAGAAAAGAGAAAACCTAGAAAAAGAAATTAAGCCAAAATTCAGTTTTATATGAATCTGTATTATACTATATTAACTCTCTCATTAATGATATATACTTATTCTTTTGTAGAAGAAACCTCCTTTCAGTAAGTATACTTTCTTAATGCATGACTTTCCTCAAATCAACTACTTCTTCTGTTAATTATATTTTAAAGTCAAATGTGGGAAGTTGTGTTATTTGTGTAGGTTTAATCCTATGTGAAGTGACTCAAATTTATCAAAAATACATCCTACCTCATACTTACTTGTCAATACTTAATTACTTAGAGAAGAAAGAGTAACTAATTTGACTTTGTAGGCATTTCTATAATGCTACTTTAAAAAATGTATTTACTGTATTTTGCTAAATTGAAAATTTTCAAGTAAAATTTTACCTAACATTTTTACATTTAATTGAATACCAATTCTGTGCCCAACACTGTCCTACAGACTGGCAATACAACACTTAACAAAACAGGTCCCCCAAAACCCCCTGCATCATGGAGCTTACATTGTAGTAGAGACAGCAGAAAGAAAACAAATACATAAACTCTACAGTATGTCAGGGGGTGATAACTGCGATGGAGAAAAATAAAGCAGGTAAGAGAATAGACAATACAATAGGCAATCCATAGGGTAGGAATAGAGATTATCTTTCTAAAAAGGGTGGTTAGGGAGAACCTCACTGATGAGGTGGCACTTAAGAAAAATTTGAAGGAGCTGAAATGAGTAAGTCATGCAGACATCAACAGAAAATGTGCTCAAACAGAGGGGAGAGAACTAATAGAAAGATCCTGAGGCCAGGCATGCCTGACATATTGAGGAACATTAAGGGGGCCAGTGTGGCTGAAACAGAGTGAGGACAATGGAGGGAGGAATGAGTACACAGCAGTGGGGGGCCAGACTATGGCCTTCTAGGCAGTTGCAAGGAGTTTGGCTTTGCTTCTGATTAAGATGGAAATCATGGGAGGGCTTTCTGTGGAAGAGTGGCATCCTCTTTCTTAATTCTTAGAAGCTCACACTGGCAGCCCTGCTGAGAATAACCTGTAAGGTGACAAAGTATGCAGAGAACAGGGAGGCCAGTGGGAAACTCTTTAATAATAATCTAGGCAAGAGAAAATGGCAGCTGGTTCCAAATCGGTGGTGTTGGAGATGTTGATAAGTGGTAGAATTCTGAATATATTTTAAACACTTTTTTGATTGATTAGATATGGGCTGTGAGAAAAAGAAAGAAATCAGAGATGGCTCCAAGGCTATCAGAAGGATGGAGTTACCATTTACTGAAGCGTGAAAGATTTCAGGAGGAGCAGGTTTGGAAGTGGTGGTAAGGGCATAGGTGGAAAGGTCTGGAATGTTTTGAAATTTTAATATTTGAGATGCTGGTTAGGATTCCAAGAAGAAATCATGGGTAAAAGTAACTGAATACGTAAAGCTGGAGTTTGGGGAAATAAGTAGAGTTAGAAATTCAGTAGTCACTAGTGCATGAGATCTGGATAAGGATCAGCGTTCATGTGCACTTGATCTGTAGGTGTGCGAATGCAGACCCAGCTTTGGTTCTATGGGCATTCCCCTCTCCTCTGAGCTGCTGTGGCTCCAGGTACCATCGCCTGTCTTTTGAAGACTTGGCTGCCATTGATTCCTGTTCCCAGACTTCTTGCTCAACCCTGGTCCCTCAGTCTCACCATATCCCTGTCCAAGTGCAGGATGAGGTTCAAGTTATCAGAACTGGCAGTAGCAAAGGGGGTAAGATTGGAAAGGCAGGGTATCCTATGGCATAGCCACCTCCAACCCGCCCACTGTTAACAAAGTGCCACAGACTGGTTGGCTTATACAGAAATTAATTTTCTTATAGTTCTGGAGGCTAGAAGTCCAGATCAAGGTCACAGCAGGGTTGGTTTCTTCTGAAGGCTGTGAAGGAAGGATCTGTTCAGGTCTCTCTCCTTGGCTTATAGACAATTCCCTGTCTTCACATTGTCTTCCCTCTGTCCATGTTCGTGCCCAAAGTCTCTCTTCTTAAGACCCCTGGATTAGGGCCCATCCTGATGACCTCATTTTAATTTAGTCACCTCTTTAAAGACCCTGTTTTCAAGTACAGTCCCATTCTGAGATACTGATAGTTGGGACTTCAGTGATTTTTGAGTTGTACACAGTTCAACCCATAACCCTACATGTAAAATTTTCTTTCCATGGAAAATAAAATTTGAGATTATAATGGTCAATCTTTCAAAATGTTAAATGTTAATAAATTGGCAAGTTAAAAGTGAGTAAGTCTCTGTTTTTTATATTCCACAAAAATCTTTAGTATAATAGTCCTAGGCCACAAATAGATACACAGGGCGTCTCACACACTGATGTTTTGTTGCATGGCTTTTCCTGTGAACACTGTGTTGAAATATAAGAAATTCAGTTAGGGGTTACTGACTTTTTGTATCCCGCTAAGATAAATGTTCATCTTCCTGCTGAAAATATATATAGAGGTAACATTAACTAAGAGGATATGTATTTCACAATTGGAAGTGATAATATAGTAAATGTTGTCTTTTATATTCCACAAACAGGAAGAGTAGTTCTGCATCTAAAGTCACTACAATGAGTGAAACTGTGAGTATTTTTAAAGCATATTTACAGAATGAATGTGCTTAGGGAATAGGACAGAGAAATGAAATAATTGTATGAAAATGATGGATTCTTCACTTTCAGTATACTTTGTACTAGTGTCTACAGCTGGTCTTTGGAAGGAGCTAAGTAAATGTTGGCTTTCCTCCCTGTATGGCACGGCATGATAAAGCTGCCTGACATTTGTAGAGTAAATGGGGCTTTACCATTTTTTTCTCTATTAGCCTCCCTAGTATCATTAGGTCCGGCATTATCAGCCACATTTTTTTTTTGAGAGGGCATCTCTCATATTTATTGATCAAATGGTTGTTAACAACAATAAAATTCTGTATAGGGGACTCAATGCACAATTATTAATCAACCCCAAGCCTAATTCTCAACAGTCTCCAATCTTCTGAAGCATAACGAACAAGTTCTTACATGGTGAACAAGTTCTTACATAGTGAATAAGTTCTTACATGGTGAACAGTGCAAGGGCAGTCATCACAGAAACTTTCGGTTTTGATCACACAT